CAGGAGGGGCTCCAAAGCCAGCCCAGGGTGCTCTGAGGAGGAAAGACCCAGCCTGTGCCGGGAAGGCGGCTGGAGCTTGAGGCAGAGCTCTGAGCTGGTGGTCCCTGAGCAGCCTCCCAGCAGGGAGAAGCCCTTCAGATGCTTGGAATGTGAGAAAAGCTTCAGCCGGAGCTCCCACCTGCTCCAACACCAGCTTATCCACTCTGGGGAACGGCCCTATACCTGCTTGGAATGTGGGAAGAGCTTTAGGAACAGCTCCACCCTTTGCAACCACCAACACATCCACACTGGGGAACGGTCCTATACGTGTGGGGAATGTGGGAAGAGCTTCAGCCGGAGCTCCCACCTCCACATCCACCAGCGCATCCACACTGGGGAACGGCCTTACAGGTGTGGAGAATGTGGGAAGAGCTTCAGCCAGAGCTCCAACCTCCTCACCCACCAGCTCATCCACACCAGGGAACGACCCTACACATGTGGGGAATGTGGGAAGAGCTTCAGCCGGAGCTCCCACCTCCGTACCCACCAGCGCATCCACACTGGGGAGAGGCTCTACAAGTGTTGGGAATGTGGGAAGAGCTTCAGCCAAAGCTCCAACCTCCGCACCCACCAGCGCATCCACACTGGGGAACGGCTCTACAAGTGTTCGGAATGTGGGAAGAGGTTTAAAATCAGCTCCAATCTCCTCCTGCATGAGCGGATTCACACGGATGAGAGGCCCTTCCGCTGCACTGACTGCGGGAAGGGCTTCAAGCAGCGTATCCACACTGGGGAACGGCCCTACACATGTGGGGAATGTGGGAAGAGCTTCAACCAGAGCTCCAACCTCATCACCCACCAGCGCATCCACACTGGGGAACAGCCCTACAGGTGTGGAGAATGTGGGAAGAGCTTCCACCAGAGCTCCGGCCTCCACATCCACCAGCGCATCCACACTGGGGAACGGCCCTACAAGTGCTTGGAATGTGGGAAGAGGTTTCAGACCAGCTCACATCTCCTCCTGCATGAGCGAACACACACGGATGAGAGGCCCTTCCGCTGCACCGACTGTGGGAAGGGCTTCAACCGGAACTCCACCCTCGTAATCCACCGGCGCATCCACACCGGGGAGAGGCCCTACAAGTGTGGGGAGTGTGGGAAGAGCTTCACCCAGAACTGTCACTTGACCTCACACCAGCGGACCCATCAATAAGGAAAGCCCTAAGAGTGCCCCAACTGCGGGAAGAGCTTTGACCGCTGCTTCCACTCTGAATAAAGCCTCTGATGCTGAGGCAACCCCTGGAGTCCAGTGACTGTCAGTCCATCCCTTTCGACCACAAAGGGCCAGTCCCCTTTCCCAGGGGCAGGTTCTGCCAACAGAACCCTTCTTGGAGGGGTGTGTGGAGATTCCTGCCTTGGCTGGGGACCCCCCCAAGGTCACTGCTGGAGGTTGAGAGCAGAGATCTCCCCCCGAGCGTTGGTCTGGGGGAGTTCCATCCATCTCGAATTAAGAATTCTTGCTTTTGTGCCAGCTTTAGTAGAATTGCTTCAACAATTGCTTTAGTGTAGAGCACTGTCCTATCTTATCCTGTACTCCTGGAAGTTTTAGTGTTTCTGTTGTGCAGTAAATAATTCTGATTAAGATCTT